CTATAATCTTCCCAAGTGGCCAGCCCCTCCTAGTGCAAGAACCTAGTGCAAGAACAGAGCATCTACATGGCTCTTCACATGCTTATGGAAATGCTCTCTAAAACCTGGGGTCTTCTGTGAGTGGTATTCTGGTTTTGTTTTTGGTTTTATTTATCTTTTTTTAATGCCAGATTCTGATAGAAGAGAATGGTGCACATATTTCTAGTTCTGTGTTTATAACTTAGATTGTTTGATTTATTTATTTTGATTCACGTTTCCGTTCTTAAATTGAGATTTCATTCTCCAGTAAATATACTTACTTTGGTTTGTGTCTTTACATCTTGCTTGGTCCAAATTTTGAAAACAAATTAGGATGATAACTGACTACCATGCATAAACTTAAGTGTATAAAATTTAATTTTTATAGAACTAAGCCATGGAAGAAATTGGAGAGGGATATTTTTAATACCTTGATTGCCTCCTGGATTCAGTCTGTCATTTTTAAGCCTTTGGGCTGTCCAGTGAAAATTTACAGAGAATGGCTGGTCACTCAAGTAGAGGTTCTGGACATCCAGGTACAAGGATGTGCAACATCATGGACTTGGAAGTTTCCTCAGAATTATCATTGATACTTTCACTATGTGCTGTAAGAAAAATGTGTTGGAATGTGTTAAGTGTCTCTGCCGTGAACTCCACTATCTTGAACATTTCATTAACCTGTACCTAACATTGTTTTGCAGTCTGCATGTGCAACATGTTTGTTTAATTTTATGTCTCAACAACCTGTTTTCACCCTTAGCCCACTTTTCTGCTTCTCGTTCCAACACAAATGAAGGTTTATTCTGGTTAGAAGTGGGGGAAATTCCTCCCATTCCCACTTTAAAGCTTACCAATAATTGATGCTTGTCATTGCTTTGTCATTCTGTTGTACATTTTCCAGAATGGAAAAGTTGAAATGTTATTAAATAGTAACTGAGAAATAGAATACAAAAAATATAACGGGGGGGTGGGGGAAGAGAGAGCGATAATTATGGCTTATTTATATTTACAAACACCAGTTAGATCAGTGGGTCTCATAGCCAAGTATAGCAACTCCTGGCATCCGAGAGTTTAGGAATGATGAACTCTTTCGTCACTGCTCTGACCATCTCTGCTTTAGCTGTCCGTAACCTGCTTTAGACTTTCTGTGTAGCAATACATACACCTTTTATATTGGTTACCTATTTATTTTTATCTAGTGTTCTGTATGCGTCACGCTCAGAATTAATTCCTGAGTAACAAGTATATAATGTAGAATATATATCACAGAAAGAAGTTATTGAAAAAATAGTTTTAAAAACCCAACAAACAAGCAAACAAACGGCAAAAGAACCCCACCAGCAATTCAGATCCTCACTTCTAAGCCAATTCAAAATTCTGCATGGTAGAGTAAATGCTATCCTTATCAGTATGTCTGTGACAAGTTTAATTACTGTTTGCTTTTAAATGTTATTCATGGCTATCAATTGCAAGCTCTCAAATTTGAACATAAAAAAAAGAAAAGGCAAATCTTATGATTTTAGGTAGTAGAGGATTACTGTTGAAAAAACTGCATAAAGGTGAATGCTGCAGCAAGAAAACTAAATATAAATGGATTTGATTTTAGGACTAGGAAGAAGGGAAAGCAAAACTGCCACCTTTTTAAAAGATTTTGGAATAATTTTGTGCATGCTTATTGTCCAAATTATAGTCTGTACTTTGAAAGATTCAACTTTCTTAACATTTCTGTTTCCTAATTAGCATTCCTGTAAAGACTGGTGTCTGTGACATGAGATGTCTTTCACAGATCCTCCTTTTACAGTTTCCTCTTTCCACCTAACTGCTGTCTCTTTTTTTTCCTTCCCTCTCTCTCCCTCTTTCCTCTATTCTTGTGTAGGCCTGACCAAAGATGGCAGTAATGAAAATATTGATTCCCTTGAGGAAGTCCTTAATATTTTAGCAGAGGAAAGCTCTGATTGGTTTTATGGCTTTCTCTCATTTCTCTATGATGTATTGACTCCTTTTGAAATACTAGAAGAAGAAGAGAGCGAAGCTGCAGATGATGTTGATGGTACGTCACAGAATGAAGGGGTTCAGGGAAAAAAGACTTGTGTGATTTTGGATTTACAGAACCAGTGACTGAGAGACTGATTTGATTTTCAAAAATGCCCATGAAATCATCAGTCTTAATATAACAGAAATTTACGGCATTGAGGGGAAGCTCCCACACGGACGCTATAAAGATTGAACTAAAGTCAGCCATGCAATGTAGTTTCACTAGTTGAAAGCCTTTCAGTGACTTTTCCATTTTTGTGGCAGGACGACAAATACTACACACTTGTGTAAATATGTAGATTAAAATGTGTATCTGCAGTTGTGTAGTTGGTTTCTCTATGTGCTTCAATTTGTGCATTTTGTGCACAAAGCTTACCAAGCTAAGTGTAATAACCTCTACTGTTAACAATATAACATTTGTCTTTCTAGCAAGCATTAACTGAAGCATTTTGTAACAGCTTTGATTGTAAAGTATTCTGGCATGACTGCATTATGTAAATATATATTTATATGTTAATCCTTAATATAGACATGACAATGATAATTCTCCTGTGAAAAATAATTTTAATAAATAATTTATTTTGTGATTTACTGATTTCTCAGATAGATTCTTTTTACCTGTTCAAATAAAAGCATTTCATTTAAAAGTGCTTGAAAATTTTACAGAACCATTTATTTCTAAGTTAGCTGTCATCTATTGTATTCAGAAGATATGATGTAATTTTTGTGGTTTATCCCCACTGATTTGTCTGTTTTCAAACTGAGTTTTCAGTCATTTTTTTAATATAACAATCATACCACAAGGGCTGTTCTTAATTTGTTTGAGGTTTTTTTAAGGTGAGCCTTTTATGGAAGTGGGAAGCTGTGATTATGTATTTCTAATGTAATACTGAATATATTAAAGACTAGTTGGAAATTAGAATGTAATGTCTTCTATTCCTTGATAAATTCAAGAACTTAATGCAGTTTTGCAAATTTTAATCATTTACCTGTGAAACTGATTTATGACACTTGTTCCAAAAATATTTTTCATGTACATGAATTCTGTGTGCTATCATAATGTTATTGGTACAGAAAGGGGAGTTTATAATTGTGTTCTGCAGTTTGTATCAGGTACTAAAAGCTGAAGCTGAGCAGTCATTTTAATACATGAATAGTGTATTACAACAGATTATTATTGAAATTATATGTAATTGTTTATTGTGATGCCTGTTATGCTTAAGTTTATATCTGTTTCCCGTACTCAAGTTTTAACACTAGTGGATGCAGGCTGAAATTTTAACCTGTTTTTAAATTAAATGAATTTTCTTCTTTTTTGGCATGGCAATTTTAAGACAATTTAATGTGCCTGTTTCAAAAAAACTTTCATTATATCACCCAACTCGGTGTTCTACTCAGTCTTTAAAAAGTAATTAGAAAGTGCTAGTGTTAAGCAAGTGAAGTGTGAAAATGTTAATGCTGCTGCTTAAGATTTACAAATGAAGTACACAAAAACATCAGTAATTTTCTTCCAAATATTTGAGGATTAGGATATAAGAAAGTTAATAACATTTACATTTATTGGTTTTTAATATGAGATATATGAAGCATAGGACAAAGAAAAGAAGAAAAACCCCATTCATTATGAAAATAAATGCTAGTAGATCTGTGGAATATTACTGAGAAGTTTCTTAACAAATAGAAGAAACTTGTGAAGTATCCAAGACATAGGAAATAAACAACCTTGAGTTGTTTTGTTTATTTTTTTTCTATTTTAATTTTAGAAGCAGATTTGAATTAGTAGTAAGACTGTAATCGATATTGTGAGATAATAACATCTCTCAGTGTGAATTAGAAAAATTGTCATGGAGTATTGATTTCTACTGTAGATACTACAGTAATGGAACTAGGTAGCCAAAAAGAGGAGGAAAACATCTACTATGACAATTCTGTGTCATGAAGTTGATACCAAGTAGTTAAAATGCACATTGATGAGTTGATTAAGTTTCAAGCGAAATAGAGATTGCTTGAACCATGTGAAAGCTGCAGGTACTGAAATAGGTAATGGTTACACCACTAAACAGTAAATTAGGTTAACTTTGGTGAGAGAGATGAAATGCAGGCCAAGAGAGTTCTTATTTCATATTGTGGAAGTTCCTTGTTGATTGTATTAAGTGCGTGGAAATCTGCTCAAAAAAGACTATAGTGCAAGGAGAGAATTTGTAGGAGATGGGGGGAGACCTAGGGGAAATATTACCAGGAAGCAGCTTTTTACAGTGTTCAGTTTCTGGAACACAGTGGTTTGGGTTTGTGGTTTGGTGGTTTTTTTAAAGGAGTTTTCACTCTTGACTGGTGAAGTTCCTGTTACCAATTTAACTCTCAGTAGCGGTGAGCAGAGCTGTCAAAGCTCTCCTACAGGTTTGAGATAGAAGAGTTTGATTTTAATGAATTGATTTGTGGTGACTGTCAGTTACATAAAATACAGTCAATATACGAAAGTTTTAAAAGAAGTCCAGAAAACTTTAAAAGTGATTTTAGACTGTAGGTAGAAAGCAGCAGCTTTGCCTTCTAAAATAATATCAGAAAGCAAAACTGCTGCAGCTTTCTACCTACAGTTTTTTGTTTGATAATTTAAAATAGGAGCAAATTAGTAGCAAACAATGGTTTTAATGGGGGAAAAAACTGTTTAAGCGATAGGAACTTGCTAGGCTTCACAGTTAGTAAATAATGAAAACTTAACGGTTTCATGTTAAATTGGACTCAGAGCTTTCATTAGCTACCTTCATAGTCCTTGCAGGTCATTTATCTTAAATTTTACGGAGCTCCAGAAGTAAATGTTTCTGACTGAAGTTGTAGTTTCCCAGTTTGGCCACCATTTTTGGAAATACATAGGATGTTTTGCTTTGCCATTTTCTTGTGTTGGTCAATGTTGTCTATTTTAACTGCCAGCCCTCAACAGAAATTTACAACCTTTGAAGAAAATACTGCATTAACCTTTGTAGTATAAGCTCTTGCTTGCTTTGCTGTAATACTAATGTAAAGAAATTGTAGGGGGAAACTTAGTTCCCATACCTCTGAAACGGCTGAGGAGTTATGGGAGGTTTGAACCCCAGATTTCTGTGACCACCTTCAACAAGATTTAATTTGAAAGTAAGACAGTGGCTTGTATAGGGGGGATCGCAAAGCACATATTATGAAGAATCACTTAGAATTGAATAGAATAAACAGAAAATTGTTTGCATATCTGTTGAAATTCTTACTGTGACAACTTTTTTTCCCTCAAAAATTAGCTTTTTTGAGAGCATGTTTGAGCACTGTTGAAATTTGTTTCAAGGTCAGTGAGTAAGTCTTACGCACCTGTAGGCTTCATTTTAGGGTAATTCTGCATTATTTGTTAGGCTCCTTTGACTGGCCTTAGAAGAAATTGATTTCTTATTACAGTTATTCATATAGGTTACAGTTGGATGGAGGGCTAAAAGAATGCATTGAAGAATTAAAAGGATTTTCATTTCATAGTAGTTCATGGTCAAATGGGGGAAAAAACACCTATATTATAAATGTGATTAGGATTTGAGAGCTGGAGAAAGCTGCTGCAGTTCAGTCCTTTTGGACAGATGTATACTATTTTTCCTATTCAGTTTCCCTCAGTTGAGCACTTTTATCATAACAATGGCACAGCAGCATGAAAAACATTCAGTGCTGTCGTTCCTATGGTCAGTTAGGATGACGTCCTCAAGATGAGGCTAATAAAGACAAGACTTGCTTGTTAGTTTCATACAAGATGCAACATGTGTATCTGTGGCTTCAGAAATGTTTTCTGCCCTGTGTCTTCAATTTGAATTTTTCTTCTAAAATTAGGCAGTTAAATAAGCAAGAGATATTAAAGCAACATACAGAGAACATATTGAGAGTTTTTTGGGGGGTTTTTAATGCTGGTTGTGTGAATTGAAAAATCTCTCTTGCATTTGGGAGGGTTTCAGTCTTTGTTATGGCCAGCAAACTGCATACAAGCAATGAGTTCAGATTAAGGTAAGTAGGTGCTAACCTTCTGCCTGTGAGCTATTTTGTTTAACAGAAAACCTTGTGTATTCAATGTAGCACATTATAAATGCAGAATAATAGTAATAATTATGTGGAGGTGCATATGCAAGCAATCGTAGCTTTTTCTGACTTGCAGTTCTGCTGGAGAAGGAAAGAAAAAAGGCTAATAATGGTTTTGGCTCTACAGATTTGTATTTCCTTTTTGTAGTTCTGCAGTTTTAACATCTTTTGCTAATATTCTGTGTGGTGATGGAGTTTTGTGATGGGACCTCATGAATTATGGCAAGAGCCTGAACGCAAGCCCTGATGTTTAAAGCTTAAAACTTTCTGTTCAGTTATCCAGGCTTTGCACAAGTTGCAGCAGAGTAGCAAGTTCTGTCTGTCAGCTGCTTCGTGCTAACCTTGATCATATGCTTTTATGGTAAATGTGAATAGCCTCTTCCTTTTTCACATGTAATGGATAAGCCACTTTAATTAGCTTACATTTGTTGCTTGACGTTGCAGGTTAAAAGGGTTTATATATGTAGATGTTGTGGTGAAATTGATTTACAGAATTTTTTTTCATGTGGCAAAGCGTTTTGTATAGCAAGGATGTTAAAGTTTTCACTGTTATTAAAGGAATAATATAAAATTTGCATATATAAGAATAAACTTCAGGTTTCTCAATATTTTGTTAAGTACGATAATAGTATCTGTCAATATCTGTGAAACTGCTCAAAAAGACCGAGTGCTTTGTGTTATGTTATTTTTGTTTTGCAGTGCTTATCTTTCTGAATAAAAATAGTATTCATATATTTTTGTGTTGATGCTGAAATTCTGAAGCTCTGCTTTCACTTGGGGGTTCTTTTTGTGGAGGTTGTTCTTGGTGATTTTTATGGGGAAAAATAGAGGAAATGACTGGATTTTTTTGCAGAATTTGGATCCTTTGCAATATTCTAAGCACTCGACATTTATAATGTAGGGCTGAATGGAAAAAAGGAGGAACTTAAACTTTCTCAAAAACAGTGTGAAGACACTTGAATTGGAACTTAGAGTCCACAGGTTGAATCACAGGATTCATAAAGTTTTGGGCTTCGGTTTGTGTGCCCCAAGGCTGTAAGAGCCTAAGTCTCTGCCAATGAGTTTACTTAGATGCCAGATTTTGTTACATGCCCCAGGACATTGCTGTCTTGGAAAGGCAAAGTGTTTTCATCCATGTCGTGCTTCAGCCTCTGGAGTTCCCAAATGAGACTTCCCTGTGCCAGTGTAGAGACCTTATCCAGGTAGAAATCAAGAAGCAGCAGGATTTCTGTCTTGTTACATAATATTAAGATTTTGAAATGTGTTATTCTACATAATTTTCCTGTAAATGGGTCTATTGATATGTTAAATTAAGTATGATATACGGAATTGTCATGCATTGATTATTTGTTGAGAATCTTAACGTTATTCGTTGTACAAAGGGAGATTGAAACAAATTGCTGCTTGCCTGAATATTTAACAAGTGAAGTATCAATAATCGGCAAACAAGGTATTTTGTAATCTTTCAACATAGTGCATGTATTTTTGTTTAAAAACAACTTCAAGTATCTGTGTGATGATTTTTTCGTATACAGATCTTTGTAAACAATTTTCTGTTTTCCCTATCAAGACATGTTTTTAAGAGTATTTCTTAAAACATCCAGTATAATTTAATTTTACTATGAAAAGAGGGCAGGAGCTGAAAATTTTAAATATGGTTTTGTGCAACTTTGAGTATCTTTTGTTATTTGTATTTTCATTGATGCTGAAGTATAACAGATTTGGAATCTATTCTTCCTTTTATATGAGAAAATTGTTTACTTATTGTTCCACACTGCTTAGAAGTAACATGATTGAATAATGAATTCAGCCAAGTTAGAACTCTAGACTTCAGCAACGATGGTAATCTGTGACGGAGCAGGTGAAAAAATGGTTTTCATATCCCAAGTATGAGTTTTTAAGGAAAGTGACCTAAAAATTGTATTTTTACCTGGCTAACCCACTTTTAGGAGATTTTGGGCATAATGTTAATGTTTGATACTTGGAAGACATGTAAGATAGAAATTATATGCAAGTTGATTACAGTGACTTTACTAGCTACATTCTTTAAATTTAGTTTTTTGTGTAGAATGTGGGGGATTTGTTTCTTAAGAATAAACGTTGAGGTATACTGACTCAGTTTGGGTAGTTATTAATTGTTCTCTGGAAACCTGAGGTCGAGGTTCAGATGTCCACTGTAGTTGCTTTGTGTGTCTGAATGAGAAACCTAATGTTGAGACATTGGAATATTACTTCCAGTTTAATAAGGTTATGTATGAGTTTAAAAAATATATTGACCATAATTTTTCTACACACACTAGTTGCTTTTTTTGGCAGTAATGCACATGATTTTTGTACTTAAGGTAGTTGTGTTTATGGGATTTAGGTCTTTATCCACAGCAGCATGATGGTGATAATCCAGTCTCTTTATATGGTATTAGAAAGATGAGGCCAATTATTATTTTTATTTTGGGGAAGGCTTTTGCCTTCATGCTTCTTGTGGAACTGGGTATAAACACTCAAGATGCTGAACAGCCTCAGTTTCTGTTAGCTACAATGGGGAAAGAGGGCAGCACCTGACTTTGGAGAGTAAGGTTTATTTTTTTTATAAAAGTCTTACCAGTCTTAAATAGTCTTAAGAAAAGCATTAAGTATTTTAACTGAAATGAAATGACAACTGTTTTTTGGAATATGAGCAATACCTTTGTCAAAACACGTATTTTCCATTGGAAAAAGAAACATAGATTGTAATTCGTTGTAAAATAAAAGAAATATTCAATTAATGTAATCTACCGTACATGCATGCTTAAAAGTCTTTTATAAAAATGTATAGAAATATAACTTAGTGGGTTTAAGAGTGAACTGGCATAATACATAGTAGAGAAATTAACTGGGATGTTGATGATAATTACGTGGCATCACACTGTCTATGGAGAACTGAGATAGCTCTAAGAAGTTAAGAAGCATCACAGATAGTGCGCATCTGGTAATGTGGTATTTTTCTTGGACTAATTAGTCTTCTGTCTCAGTACTTGCAGTTTTGCTACTGAAGATGCTAATTCTTAATGAGTTAACATTTGGCTTCTCTCCATAGCATTGCAGTGTGCTATGTAAAGATAACTTTTTACATCGCATGGCACATTGGAAAATTTTGTCATGTTTGTTGAGCATCACAGATATGTTCATAACCTGTTTCCATTTTGCAACAAATCAGGTGAGGAGCCAGGAGGGGTAGCCAAGAAAAAAACTAAAGTCAAAGGTATTTTTAATGTTCTTTTTCTTGTGGACCTTGATGCAGATAATAATGTCTGAAATGCATGTGCATTGCAAATACAGATTGCAGGTTACAATAATGTTTACTAATACTGGCTATGTTGGCTAAGTGTTGTCTAATGGTGCAGCAAAATGTTATCCTCTCCATTTTTCAGTAACTGTTTTTTTCACTACTGATTGTGATTTAATGACAATGTGAGTGCTTTCTGAACTAGAGATTATATTTTGTTTGTGCAAATTTTTTGATGACAGTTGTCTTGTTTGCATTGGAAGTAGTTTATGTTAACTTCATATTCTGCGTGTTTAAAAAAAAAGTTCTGATATGTATATGCAGGTTTTGCTCTATGTGAAATCATCCTTTAGTTATCTTTCCTGAATTCACGACACTATTGCTGTATTGGAATTGGACTTGAGCACCTTAATTTCTGCTTAAGTCTGTACTTAAATAGTTTCCCCTATTTCTTTCTTACGAGAGGAGAAACTTAGGTAAAGTTCAGTAACTTCCCCTTTAATATCAATTCGTAGAACTGATTGCAGTGATGATACTTACAAATTTTCCAAAAGCTTGAAGTAGACTAGCTTGCAACCAATTTATGCTATAGAGTTATTTATTTATTTATTAATTTATTATTACATTGCTGTATGAACAGGACATAGTGGTCTAAATGTGTTCAGTGCAACAGTGAGATTTAAAAAAGTTAATTTTCCTCAGCAAAACACCAAGCTACCAGATGTACTTCGGGTGTTTAACTTTCTAGCTCTGCTCAGTTATCTCCACACAGTATGGTGCTATGTAGAGAACACATTTTTTGTGTGTTCTTTGTTTCACTTTTTGTTGCTTCAATCTTTGTTGCATTAAAAACACTTAGACCTTAATGTGTGTTTTCTAGCAGTACCTGAAAAGTTCACGCTGTTTGTGGTTCATTAGTCTCATAAGGGAAAAAGTACGTTTGCTGAGAGGGAGGCACTTATGCTCATATGAATGTGTTTTCTTAGTATCTTGCATGCAAGTGGAAATTTGTAGCATTTGTTCCACATTGTGCTTGGTATGACTTGGTTGCAGATTGGGTGTTTTCAAGAGTGCAATAAATGTCATTTAACAATTCATTCTGGAGCTTGGGATTATTTTTCAATGTTTGATATGAGAATGAAGAATTGGTATGATATATTTCAAATGCTTTATGCCAGAAAACAGTTGGAGGGCAACATGATGTTATTACTGTTAGACTGAGCAGTGTGATTGATTTGTTTACTGCACAGAAATGTTACACAGCAGTCAGAGGCAGATGTTACAGGAGGAATGTTGTCACTTGCCTGCTTTTTACCTCAACAGACTGTAGTTTCTCTCAGAAGTCTGAATAAAATTAGGAGTGTTGTATTTTATATATAAAATCTTTATTGCTTTTCTAATTGTGTGGGAGTATTAATTTTAAAATTAAATACAAATATTTGAATACAGAGATTTAATGGAAAAAAATTCTAAATTTTGAGTTAAAAATTTCTTCTGCTGGAAAATGCTGCTGGTACTGGCAAAGTGGAAGTAAATATTCAACATTTAAATTTCAAGGATGCTATCTGACTGTTCTTCTGATCTAGATACCATGTCACAGCTAAATGTGAATTGAAATAGAGAAATAAAGCACAAGAGATACAACTCCAAAAGCAAAGCAAACAAAAACGTTTTACTATTAATGCTACATATGGAAAAGAAAACATTTAAAAATTAATTTACAATTGTTACTTTAATTTCACTAAATATGGTCAAACCAAGTGAACTTTTTCAGTGTTGATTCCTTTCACCAGGACATTGCTGTTTCTTCTTAATTATTCTGTACTTAATTCTTATTTTTTGTAGAACATAGGCTTCAAATACATTTTTAATACTTGACTTAATCTGAGGTAACAATGTCAGTAAAATGTTGTGGTATACATTTGTGTTGTTACAGCTTTAGAAAGTTGAGAAAATTGGAAAAAAAAGTCTTTTGGTGATGCTCTTGACATTTCTAGATCCTATGATTGTCATGCTGTTGTCAGATTCAAAATTTACTGTGATTTTCATGCTCAGAGGCACAGCTGGTTTTAGCATTCTGCAGGAGTTAGTTAACAGTAAGGTAACAGAGGCATGGTTTTCACTAGATTAATGCTTTACTTGGATACAGTTGCAGTAACCTAAGGTTATTGGCTGGCTGCATGGTGTGAGATATTCCTAAAAGTAAAAACTAATTTGTTTAAATTGCTTAAAGCTTAAATAGTTAATTATACACATTTTAAATTGGCATCTAACAAACATTAGGCGTTCAAAGCTTTTAGTTGTTTGTAAGATGTTTTCTGATCTAAGAATGATTCTCTTATTGAACATTTTCTCTTTTTTAAATGAAAAACTAAAATGTAAAAGAAGCTATTAAAGAGCCGCTCAAGAAAGTAAGGGAGAAGCAGGAATCCAAGAAGGAGGAAATCAAAGATGAGGAAGAAAAAAAGAAGGCCAGGAAAGGAAAAGATGCTACTGATCGAAAGGACAAGAAAGCTGCTGATATGAATAAATTAAAGAAAGATTCTGACAAGGCTAAAAGAGACAGAGGAAAGGAAAAGGAAAAAGAAAAAGGCTTAGACAAAAATGTAAAATCCAAGGAGACTACAAAAAAATCAGCCAGTGAAAAGGATGGAACTATTCAGGTGGGAAAAGACAAAGAAACAAAAAAGGTAGTTAAAAACCCATCCAAGGAAGACAAGAAAGAAAAGAATTAAGTGCTTTAAACCACTCTGTGAAATAAACAGAGTTCCAGTTCAGCTAATGAGGAACAGACCTCAAGAATGACAAATTTAGCATATTTATATGAATGTGGTAAATACGGCAATAAGAAGGTAATGTTTTCTGGAAATAAGGGTGATCAATGGCCATATATAATAATTTTTTAAAAACTGTTAAGCATGTACTGGCAATGTAAACACGACCCATAAATGTCTGCTATGAAACTTAAATATGTACATATGTTACTATGCCTGGGTAACAATGTGTATTGAAGTCAGAAATGTCAAATTGATGCTAGTTACTTCAAGAATACTCTAAATCTGGATTATTTTTTTCCCCTTTCTTTGTTTCCTTGTATTCAGATGCTATTTTCTTGATGTGGGAATGAAAGTGTATGTTGTGTATCAAATGCAAGTTTGAAAACAATATTAAGAAAATTAGCTGGACCCATATACTAGAAACTTGAAAGAAAATACTTGTTTCACAAAAACAACCAAAAGGAACATTAATGGAATGTATTGTCATAGGAACTTAGCAAATAAATGTACATTATTCCCTGCTAAACATTTTTTCCCCCAAGTAGACTGAGAAAACTATTTCGTACAAAAACATTCAAACCGAATTTATTGTTGCATTTACTTATGAGACTTCAGTGTATACTCAACCAAAATGTTGCAACACTTCTGTTTATTGATCCTGTGACAATATGTTCCGCTTTCCTTCCCTTCTTCCTTCATTTATTTATTGTTTTAGCTATCTTTAGATCTCAAAACCTGATTCATCTAACTTTTCAGTTAAGTGTGTCCTGATTTCTCCAAGTTTTCCAAGCTTCTGGTAAAGAATACTTCTGAAAATTAGGCCACCTCTTTCATCATTGATGGGTATTGTGGGATTCCAATCATATTTTAAGACGTGATATGCTACTGTATTCTGGTTGAACTTGATTGGAGAACAGCTTATGTATTTTCCGCTACTATTATTGTCTTCAAACAGCACTTTTTTCAAGTACATGATGATACTTCTGTAAGCAAACTCCTGTGTTAGTTTGCTTTTATAGCTTCTGTATTTTTAGCACCGAGGAATGATTTCTCCAGCACTCTTACAGAATAAACAACAAACATTTCTGCAGAGATATTTCAGTATGTTATTGAATCTGTACTTGCTTTCAACTTTATATGGGAAAGTAATACTTTCTAATTTTGCTAGACAAATAATACTGCTTAGTATATTGGTTAGTATATTAATTGCACAATTAAACTACATAAGATTCAGAACAAGATTTGTAATGAAAGTGAAGATTTACTGTTGTTACATGGCAGCATTATTTTAAAGAAAACAGAACTAAGGAGTGAAATTGAGCACGAGTATATTCATGTGGGTCGTGTTGCAAGATTAAAGTCCTGAAAGTTGATTCTGTTTGTGGTTTTGCTTAAATTTTATGTATAACAGTTGGCAATACGCTTATCTCAGTCTTCTGATGCAGCACATACCTGTCTCTGTAAGATACTTTGATCCCTAGAGGTATAAGATGTGATAATAGGGTAAGATATAATATGACATTTTTTAGGAAACTTATGCAAAATAGTTCAAATGAAAACTGTAGAAAATATTGCAGTAACTTAAGATTCTAGCTGTGATTAGCAGAGAATATACCAAACTATTTTCTAAATATTTTTTTAATATGTGAAGAAGAAGGGGAAATATGCATGTGTTATGAATAGCAAAAAATTGACAAAATGAAGATCTAATAAATGCACTTGCATAATGAGCATTTTCTTCTAGTTTTTGTGATGATGGACGTGTTTATTCATCTTTGCTCTGATAAGTGCTAAGATGTGTATTTGACAGAGAAGCACTCAAATCACACTTCTCAAGAATGGTGGCACAGTGGTATAGTGCACATCACTTTTTATTTTCTCCCCTAATGTGACAAAAGTTGTAACTGACTGAGATTGAAATTTGAAATGAGTTGCCTTTCTGATTAGCATATTATTGTATTTATGACCCAAAGTTTATTTGGTTCAAAAAAAGTGTGGGTTTGGTTGATTTTTTTTTTTCCTCCCCCCCCCCCCCAACAAATTTTTTTTTTTTTTTTTCCCCCCCCCCCCCCCCCAAGAAATGTTTTATTTGAGCAGTGCTCTAGGCTATACAGATAGCCACACAATAAAATGAGATTTTTGCCACAGAGATCCATTGTGCTGTTGTGTATCTCTGTGAAATATTATTGTCATTCAATTTAACATGGCAAGTTACTTCGTAAGCTCAAAAGATACACCACACAAGTAAAATCTTAGTGTGACTTTATTTTAATGAAAAGGTGAGATAAAATAGTATCTGGCAAAAAGTAAATTACTTAACAAGTTACATACTCAACAGGATTGAATAGGAATCCGTGATAAACACATAAGTGCATATGAAAAGCTAGGAAGCAAAGTTGAAATGTGCAAGCAAAACAGTCAAATACTGACTATCTTTTGAAATACTTCAAGTCTATTTATTGTTCATGGAACAGAGCAAGTGGTTGTCTGGAATTGGAGATGTGGCTTATTGGAGTGTGTGAGGACTTATTTAAAGATGTGTATATGTAAGAATAGTGAACTGGATTTGTGAAAGCAGGGTTGCTGTTGCTATGCTTCCAGATTCTGAAGGGTGAGACAGCGCCTAGTATAAGTAACTGGATTTGTCTCCATATGTAGCTAAAGACAATTGTAGAAGGAAGTAACTGCTTACTCTTGTAGTCAGTAATATTACTGCAGCAAAAGGTGAATCTAAGTCTTAATGATATTTTATATCATCGTTATTTTTAATAGTTTTTTTTAATGACACAGATGAAAATTGGCAGCAAATGAAGTGTAAATTTGGCTTTTTTTCTTCTAGCATCTGATCTTGACTCCATAGTAGTGAACTCTTAGTTACAGTACTTTTAGGTATAGCCTAACTGCTTATCTTCATGTAATTCAAGTATCAAAAGTTGTAAGTAGAATTAATTCTGTTGTACCTATTCCTGTTATATTTATTCCATTATCCTATATAAATCTTTCTCATGATGCATAAAATAATGAAAATCTCTCTAGTTTACACAAAGTTGTTTTGAGGCATAGTAGTCCTATTTGTCTTGAGATATGTTTGAGTCCAGTAGACAGCTGGTGATTTTTTTTTAAACTTGAAATATAATATTTATATTGTTCCACTTAAAGTTACTTTTACGAGATTGTTAGCAGTACAGGAGTATTCATTATAGTGTAGCCTCTGCTTTCTTCAATATTATTTTTCGGTCGATTTCTGTGTATGGAGCATTTGAGAAACTAGCTTGTTTTGGGCCATGTCTGTGTGTTTATTTATTGACCTTGAAATTTATACTTAAATATGAACCTAGGAAAAAATACGTAGGATTATAGGAGAAATCCATTTGGAAGGGACTTCAGGAGATCCTTATTCCAACTCCTGCTCCAAACAAGGTCATCTCAGAGGTGTGATCAGGTTACCCTGGCTGTTATGCAGTGTGGTCTTTAAAACCTCCAAGGATGGGAATACACAACCTCTCTGTGCAGCCTTTCCCACTGATTTGATTTCTCTCATGGTGAGGTGTGCATGTGGGTGCATGTGTGTGTGGAAGTTTATTCTTGCACCCAGTCTGAACCTCTCGTTTGTTTTGCTTGAGTCCTTCCAAAAGGATAGTTCAGAGGAGGATTAAGCTAATACCAATACATTCTTTAAGGATGTGGTGTCTTAAGATGTGGCATGATTTATCTTTATCTCTTTCCATGGTGTTGATAATTGCTCTTTTTGATTGCTATTCTTTCAGTGTGTTTTGCTCTAGAAAGACTCAGTGGTATAGATAGCAAGCATCTTAGTGGTGGAATTCCATCAGCCACCCTTTTTCTGTAGTAATTTAGTTGTCAAAAGAAGCTAAAGATTGAGATTACCTTATTTTGAATAAACTACTTTTCTTTTCATCCGATCTTCTAAGATTTAACATATGAATTTAAAAAAAACCTCTTCTCATTCAGAGTAGTGTGTGATGAAGTTCAAATTAGGTTTCTGATCATATGAAGCACATTTTCCCTCAAAGAGAAAAACAGTGAGAAAAACCTGCGGCCTATTTTTCTTCTGGATACTAAATAGATTCTGAGAATAGCATAGTCATCTGTTCATTCATTTTGAAATAAAGGCAAGTGCTTAAATTTCTGTCTCTTTTTCCCTCATTGTATGTTTGTCTTCGAAACATCTTTGTTTTCTCTCTGGATATGCTTTAGTCTTTGTATATGTCGCTGTATATCAGGACAGCCCTGTAGTTGTGATTAATTGTTTGAATACATTTTGGAGAGTTTAACATCAGTTAATTTTAACGATAATTGTTGCTGATATAATTAAGGCAACTTTCTTAGTTTATAATTGAATCAGAACAAAAAGAGCGTAAAGTTAACTTTATAACTGAAAAATGCAGGCCTTAAAGAAAGATCTGTCCCAGCACAGCCAGCATCACCAGAACCTGAGGAGACCATCCAGCCTGCTGAGAAGCCGTATGTTGAGTCAGGTAAGGCCTTGTGTAAACCATAGGCGGAACAAAAGACATGATACTTCATCTGAATTATATTTCTGCTTCCTTAGTATGAAACGCATGACACTCATTATTGTGTTATTTCTTTGGGTAGAAAAAGAAATTTTTCATTGCTTTTATGTGTGGCTTATAGTTTATTTAACAGGAGTCACTGTTTATGACTTCATATAAATCACTGACTAAGAGAAGCTTATAATATTTAAATGTATAGAAGGCACTCTTGTCAGCTCTCATGGATACTGTTGGAACCATATCACATCAGGATAACTTTCTGCTTAAAAAAACTACTGTTGTGTTTTTGAAATGTATGCAACAATATACTCAGATAAACAGCAGATTCTCCATCTTAAAAAAGAAAACCAAAACAGACCACCAACTAACTTTAAAAATGTTAATCAAATACTCACTTTTCTATTAAAAGAATAGTATCTCATAAATTCAATAAATACAGCTTCTAGTGTTGAAAAAAATCACTTATGCATTTTAAAAACCTCATATATATTAGTAAAATTGATTAGGTTCAAGAGGAATTAATGAAAAAATATTTTTACACATCAGATTTCAGATATGTGCTTTGCATTTTAGCGTTATTCAAAAAGTACATGTTTTCTCCTGTTCCTGGAAAAGGCTTATTCTACGTGGTGTTTTTGTGAACCTAACACAAATGTGGAGCATATTGTCAACAAAATAGAATATAGAATTTGTTTTAAAATTACTTTTGAAGTTATAATTTATTTAAAAATGTGGCTGTGATTTGATTTTGTGCTGTTGAGTTTCTCAGTGTTAATTTCAGGACCTTTATGTGAAGGCAGCACTTCGTGCAAATATCCTGGGCTGGTTTGTTAGATAACGATCACTTGTCTCTGAAATCAATTTGTGATTTATTCTGCTATGAATTGTCAGAAGACCTTAGGATTTTAATGTTGTTGTCTATTTTACCTGTTTATAAAGCCAACAAGACTTCTTCGAGTGACATTTTCTTGTCAGATAAGACATGCTAGTGTTGCTGCCTAAATTGTAGGAAAGTAGTGGATGAAAGTGTCAGTAAAATAATTACTTAGAAGAGAATTCTTGATCTGAGTAGTTATCTGAAGTTACTTATGTTACTGCCACTGAGAAAAAAGATACATGCAGAAAGTTCAGTGTAGATGAATTTTTCCAATTCATCTTCAGAACTAATCTGATATGATTGGTGCAATACTTCCATACTGGAGAGTAAGCAAAACCAAATCATTTTTGTAGTTGCACCAGTTGCAGAGGTTCTCTGTGGAACTTTATGGAATGGAATAAGAACTTCATGAAGATTACTAAAAGCTACAAGCCTTGAGCTAATGTTTAGACTTTGCTTTTTGCACTTACCTTCTCTGCAATTTATGATCCTTTCAGAGCACAAGAATGCTGACATAGAAGTGGAAGAGGAAATTCAGTCTGTTCCTCATGAAGCTCTCCATTCCCAGCCTGGTAATGCATTAACAATTAAAAAACCACTGAAGAATTTGTAAATACTGCCTTAGGCTAGACAAATCTCAGAGTCTGGTTTTGGTGTGCACTTAAAGTACTTTTGCCTACACAAAGCATTCTAATTAGCTAATTTGTCATTTTTAAGAAAATCCAGAAAGTTCAGTCATCAGATCCTGTAGCTGTAGCCTCTTACCCAGAGGTGTTTGGCAGCAGTAGCTCAAATCAGTCAGTTGACAAAAGCTTCCTTGAAATACTGTGTAGAGTGCAAGAATGGGTAAACAGAGATAGCTTTTGCTGTTTGGTTTGTTTTTTTTTTTTCTCCATGAGCAAAAAAGGCGCTGGCAAGTCAGTGCAGATAGTTTGGGTTTATAATGTTGGAAGGTCTCTGGAGTGTCTCCCTCCCCATCCCCTTTGGGGACTAGTTGAAAAACATGAAGGTGTGCTGAAGACTGAGTATTTGCTGGTAGTAGACTTTACCAAAGAATGTGTATTCTCTAACAGTATGTATTATTAATTAGGAGAGACACATGAAGATGTAGATGATAACATAAATGACGAGTGGCAAGTGAAGGAGGAAATACATGGAGAAACTTTTGAAGCTCCTACAAGAGATGACTTGCTCAGAGAATTAGAGAATGAAGTGCCAGAAGCATATGAGACACCAGACTCGGTTCAGAAAGGTATCTGAATGACTATATATATTGAAAATTAAATTTTGCCAAAAATAAGAACAGACAAATGGAAATATGTCTTATTTAAACAGTTGTCTTTTAATTTCTACTTGCAGCAGAGACTTTTCAAATGTCAACCACAGCAAGTATTGTTTAGCAAGTTAATATTTTTTAAAATCAAAATGGGATATTTTAATGCCATGTGTTTTGGAATCTAGGTAACTATATGTTATTGTTTACTTACTGCTATATTGGCTTTCAATCCAGCTATGCGTATCTCCCCCCAGTAGAGACACTTCTATATCTGTATGGAGTCTGTCTCTGGACTTCCTAGTTTATTAAACTTTTTAATTTAAAACCTTTTGTAGGCAGACTTATTATCACTCTGCTTTCCTCCTAATGTGGCTCTCTAAGAGAAAGTTACACATGAAATATATTGCAAGTCCTGCTGAGAGCGTAACATCATGTAAAGAAGACGCTCATATCCTGCTGCCTTGAGACTCTGACAGGATGATAAGAACTGTTTGTGATCAGAAGAGTAAAGCAGAATCCTATTACCTAAATCCAACTTAAGGAAAATATTTCTGAATGCTTTTTATATGCAGTACTGAAAAACTTACATGTATCTTAAGACTTCTTTTTGGAAAACTCATGTAATAGATGTCATCTAAAAGTTCTGGTTGCCAGAAAGTACAGAGATTCTTTCTTCACAACTGAAGTAATTCTCTTCAGTCTGGATCTATTCTACTGTCTTATTTCTGTATCTCTTCTATGCATCCACAGTGCAAGTTAAAGTAGGGAAATAGATTCAAATTCCAGTTACTTTAGACCTTTAAAATGACCATTAGGAAGGCAAAGTGAATATGTTCTGCTTTCTGTACTTTTACCCAGAAATCTCTGTGGAGAGTAATTTAATTTTTTTCTTTTTTCTTTTTTTTCAAATCTGTATGGAGTTCATGTGTATATACACATTCTTAGCATTGTATAGAAGAATAAAATTGTAAATTTTATTATTTCAATGTACATTTTGCTGGCATTAGAAGAAATTTGCTTAGAATTTCTGCTTAGAAGTTTGACTCTATTCTTCCTAATATTCTGATACAGGATTTGTGGTATGATATACTCAATTAAAAAATTTAAAATTTGTAAATACATGTTTGTTCCTCAGATGCTGACTTTTTTGCAGATGATCTTGGAGCAATGGAGCCTGAACCATATGAAGCTCCAGGTAAGATTTTGTTTTTCCAAACTCTGTAATATTGGGTTTTGGACTAAAAGTAGCAAATTACATGAGAAAGCAAAACAGAAAAGGTTTTTCTCAAAACAACTGTTCTTGATTACCTGGATAGTTTTACTCTGACATGACCATATCATATTTGCTATTGCAAATTCTTAAAAAGAGTTGGTGATAGATATGGAAAACTTGTTTTCATTTGTGCAAAAACATAATCTTTACTTTTTTATGTGCTTTTGGTGGCTGTGTATGATTGGGCTCTGGTTAAGCAAAAGAACTGTGGTTGTACAGTCTAAGAAAGTGAAAATTAGATCTATTGCTTATGTTACTGTCTTACAGTCTACAGTGCTGAGGAACTTCTAACATATTATTCTTTGCATTAGTCAGAAACTTATGTTCTTACGGGGAATCTGTCACTTCTGAGAAGCATCCAGTTTGTAACTTTTTCTTTCAGGACTGTTTGTTTCTTTATGGCAGATTATACTATCAGAGAGTGAGTCAGCACCAGTGACTTCATTCTGTACTATCCTTGGCACTCTCTTTCTTCACACCCTAATTCGTCTTTAAAGCTCCTTAAAATTACTTGGAGAAATCCAATTAGCTTATAGTCATCTTCCTGTAGTGCTTGATATCACATACAATGGCATTAGCACATCTTTCTGGTTATGAAGAAATATTTGGTGAATATTACAGATTCCCTGCTAAGTATTTTCTTCTCGATGCTAATAATGCTTCTTTATAGTACAGGCAGCCTCTTCCATTTATATTAGACATTGATTTCTGTTTGGACTAGAGTCCTTATCTTTGGCTCAATGTTAGTTCTGGACTTTGTGGTCTTGTTTGTTGCCAATTATGACAGAAAAATAATGTCACTTTTTTTATACACCCAAGACTACGTATTCCACTCTTCTTGGGAGATTACTGCTTTCCAATTACCGATTTAAAATCCAAGCCATGATGCTTCCAGTGTAAGAGGACAGTTACCTTACCTTCAGTGCCATGTGTTGTCAGATGTATCATACTGAGTATATTAATAAAATTGGAAAGAATTGTAATCACAGGAAAATAATCTATGTATTTAGCTATGCAATTAAAAAAATTAAATTGCTCTAAATCTATGATGCCAGAAGCAAACGTACATATTTCTTAAAGTCAGATTTCTGGCTCTTATCTTGTCTTCTGTACATGATCATCGTAGTCCTTCTGCACTCTAATAAAGAAGCTACTTTAGAACTTTAGGATAGGGGAAGATTCTACTTTTTTATTAATATTAGAAGACCTATTTAAAATTATTCATGGAGAGTAATGGCTTTCTTGGATTTAGTTTTCATAGTGAAGGTATAACAGAGGACTAGAAGAGAGGGTGGCCCAACACCTTCCATTGGATTGCCATGTGACAAGTTCCAAGTGTTTATTTATAAGATTTAAATTTGTCAGATTTCAACTAGGGAGCTACATGTAGCGATTGACAGGCACATGATGGATCACAGAATATTAGAAGTTGGAAGGGACCTCAAAAGATCATCCAGTCCAACCCCCCTGCCAGAGCAGGATCACGTAGACTAGGTCACACAGGAATGCGTCCAGGTGGGTTTTGAATGTCTCCAGAGAAGGAGACTCCACAACCTCTCTGGGCAGCCTGGCCCAGTGCTCTGTAACCCTTACAGTAAAAAAGTTTTTCCTCATATTCAGATTGAACCTCCTATGTTCCAGCTTGCACCCTTTGCACCTTATCCTGTCATTGGCTGTCACTGAGAAGAGCCTGGCTCCTACCTCCTGACACTCACCCTTTACAAATTTATAAACATGAATGAGGTCACTCCTCAGTCTCCTCTTCTCCAAGCTAAAGAGACTCAGCTCCCTCTGCCACTCCTCATAAGGGAGATGCTCCACTCCTTCCATCATCTTTGTGGCTCTGTGCTGGACTCTCTCAAGCAATTCCCTGTCCTTCTTGAACTGAGGGGCCTAGAACTGAACACAATATTCCAAATGCGGTCTCCGAGTTAACATTTCATATTTTAAATTTCAAAAATATTTTTTTTTCATATTTGATTTACAGTTTCATATGATTATGGTGTGGATGTGGAAAAGTCAGTAGGTGATCCAGAAGCTCCAGGTTTGTAAATTTTCATTACTTTAGATTATAATGTAATCTCATACATTTTTAAAACATGCTTCAAAGTAACGTGTCATATTGACTGTTTAGTCACAGTATTATTTTCAAACAGTTTTGCAGGCAGTTTCAGATAAGCCTCATTTTTACAGCTGTGTTACCATTACACTTGTGAACAAAGCACTCCACGAATCCAATCCACAAATACTTACATAAGTATCTTGTTTTGTCAGGAGTCTTCCAATCTAATCAATGGATTGTCAAAGATCTACTTATATTCCTAATTTTAGGCCTAAATACAAATATCGTAGAATTGTGGAATGGTTCCAACCGCCCTGCCATGGGCAGGGACACCTCCCACTAGACCGTGTTGCTCAAAGCCCTATCCAACCTGACCTTGAACGCTTCCAGGGAGGATGCATCCACAACTTCCCTGGGCAACCTGTTCCAGTGCGTCACCACCTTCGTAGTGAAGGATTTCTTCCTAATGTCTCATCTAATGTGCATGAACTTACTATATTGTGTGACTTGCAGTATAGCTCCTGAATGTGTTTTACAATCCAGCAGTCACTTTCAAATAAAACATTGTAGTATTAACTGAGTATGTTTAGTTATTTTATTCTTGAGCTAGGTTGGTAACCTTTCTAATTTCTCATGTGCTGTTTAGCTATTGCATCAAAAATTGATTAGCATATAAAATATTAAATATTTTTATTTAAGATGACTCTGAGCTGATGCTAGAAGACGCTATTGAACATCACCCAGGTACAGTCCAAAGTCTTATTTCTTTATATTTAAGTTTATTTTGGCTCCAAACCATGACAAAAAAAAACCCAAAACATTGGCGCTTAGCATCAATTCCTTAGTAAGTTATTACATCTGTATTTTTTCAGAACATAATTAAAAATATAAAGAGCTACATGAATACTACTTTTCTGTAGTATCAGCCAAATGTGCAAGATAATATACTGAGGGTTACATTTCCAGGAGAGTGGGTGTTTTTATTATAAATGGCATAGAAATGTTTCTGTGGATAAAAAATAATTTGAATTTGCCAAAGCTGTTGAAGTTAATATGTCAGGAAAATAGTAGTATCTTTAAATTTTTTTTGAAAGTAAGCAAGCCATAACAAGCATATCCCAAAATTCCACTGTAGAAGTTTGCTATATATAGAAATTCTTCATGAGTATTTCCATTCTGAATTGTAGGTGATTTGAACTGTATAAGAAAAGCCTACTGAAAGTGCTTTATCTTTTTTAAGTCTACCTTATGATGCCAGAAAATGATTCAGTTCTTTTCGTAAGATCTTTTCGAAATCTTCACTTTTGTTGAACTCTTACTAACTTTAAAAACAGTATGAAATATTATAGTTTTGAATATCTTTTTTGTCCTGAATAAACTTGACACTGTGTATTTATTGCCTTAAAATTCAATGAAGTTTTCTTTTTCTTTTTTTTTCTTTTTTTTTCTTTTTTTTTCTTTTTTTTTCTTTTTTTTTCTTTTTTTTTCTTTTTTTTTCTTTTTTTTTTCTTTTTTTTTCTTTTTTTTTCTTTTTTTTTCTTTTTTTTTCTTTTTTTTTCTTTTTTTCTTTTTTTTTCTTTTTTTTTCTTTTTTTTCTTTTTTTTTCTTTTTTTTTCTTTTTTTTTCTTTTTTTTTCTTTTTTTTTCTTTAACAGAGGATAGAGTGCATGAGGATTATCATGAACACCATGGTATGCCAATTGCTATATTTAATGACATGACAGTATCAAAGTTTTTCATTAATATGAAAATGAAATTGCTATGTCTTAAAATTTTTCATGCTGTCACATTACTTTGCAAGTTCTCAGTTAAAGGTTTGGATTTTTTTTAATGTTTAAACCCCATGTGTGTGTAGGCAATGAATCGATCTTTAACACTGGAACAAGTGTAGAGTAAGCATATAGGTTGTATTCCCATATTGGTCCTCTTTTTCATACTTTGTGCTTATGTGACATAAAAACGTTGAAGACTTTGCATGCCCTTCTTATGAAACCCTGGCCAAGTCGGCTGTGATTCATTGCATCTGTATAGCTCAGTGTTACTTTTAATCTTGTCTACATCTACCGGTTCTTTGGAGGTGATTCTCATTTAGTTTGATTTGGTTAATGATTTGGTGATGATTGCTGAGACCAAATAAAAAAGTAAACGAGAAGACAACTAGTGGTCAGTGCCTTGAAACAAAGGTATGTGGTTGTGATTCCTTCTGTGAGATCCTTCTGAGGATTACCATACTTCAGAGGAGTTAAGTATGTCTTCAAAGCACTTTTATTTTTCATGTTTATGTAGCCTGAGCAAAGGACAGCAATTCTTAACTTCTCAGTGTTTGGGAGAGAGAACTGTGAGCTTTGTTCTTTGTCATCAGGAGGGAAATTCTGACATCCACCTTTGTGGCAGAAGTCAGAATCCCATTGAAGGACTTTCAGTGACCCGAATATGTATTCAGCCCTTAGTCCATGTCTTTCTCAGTCTACAGAAAAGAATTATTTGCCCCAGCTATGATGTGCATGATGAAATGTTAGCATAAATAGGACAGAAAGCAAGAGAGACCTAGTTTTTTCCCTGCTTATTGTTTACTCTCTTTTTCTTATTTTAGTATCAGTTCCTAATCAAGAATCACTTACTTTGCTTCTCACATCTACATATAAGGGAGAAGTGCAACTTTTAATCTTTACTATTCATACTCTGTCATATGTAGGGGTGACATGGACAGAGAAACCCACAGTCCCTGATCTCAGGAAGAGTCACCTGCACCTGCTTTTGGAGTAAGGTGTTCATGGACTTCCCAAAATAAAAAAGTTAAAAAGTAAAAGCTTTTTACTCAAAGATTAGGAGTGTAGATGAATTATTACAGTTGTGCAGAATGATAGCTTTATTGTTGTCATTGTTTTCAGTATTTCATCTGTGTAGATAGAAATGCTTGAAATTTCAGCATTATGTTCACATTTGGTACTTGTCTTATGTCTAGAAATTCTTACTACAAGCTCTAGTAAAAGTTCATGTATCTATTCAGACCCCAGAGCTGGAAAAAGTCTTTGAGAGTTTTGCATTTATCAGTAAAGAAATGAACTGGATTCTTAACAACAGAAATTTGAAGATATTTTGTGCTTATCAGTCACCCAGGAAGTTTATTTTTTCTTTCAGAACCCAAACATGAAAAGCAGACTGAGACTCAAGATACAGGTATATACCTATATCTATATATGTATAAAAATACATATACACAGGGGAATGTGTGTGGGAGTGTATATACACATCCCCCCGTTTATATGTATTGTTATATATGGAACATCTTAGAAAATCTTTGTTTCATATGTAATTAAAGCAGAAATACCTCTAAAATAAATGTTATTTGGAATAGAAATGATTTTTCAAAAACAGATAAATATTTTAGTAGTTAGAATAAAAATCATTAACAAAATCTTGCTGTTTATATATATTGAAATGCGTAATCTGTGTGATCTTAAGTTATGATATATTGCCAGTTATGACAAAGGTGATTTACACTGTGTAGTTATAAAGTTAGGTTTTTGGCTATGAAATGAGACACCTTTTAGTATACCATCCTTGGGGATTCTGCTTTAAGGTCTCAAGTCACAAGTGTCGAGTGACACAAAGTGGGTCATGTGAGGCTTTTTGTGGACGTTTTGAACACAGTAGTTCAGCATGGACACTGAACCTGCTGCCTGCCATGAGCCTTGCTCATAACCTTGTAACCAGTGCTTCAGATCATTCAGAGTTTATAGACTGTCAGTACTAGCTCTGCTTTGATGCATACTTTTTGCTAGTGCCTTTGTCTAATTAGCAGAAGTCATTAGAAAATTATTTGTCCACAGTCCTCTCTCTGGGTCCTGTATACGTTGTTTCTTGAAATACCAGCTTTTTTGAGAGTCAACTCAGACAGCTGGTAGAAAAAGACAATCCTTTAGTTTAGAAGGAAGTCAAGCAATTGTCTAGTGTACATAAATTGTAAGTATCTGTTTTGTCACCTTTGTGATCATAAACCTAAGAGGACAGTCAAATGAGTTAAAAGGTGACATATTGAAAGAAAATAAGAATAATTTATTCTTCCATGGAATCCATAATTTAAGTTGAACTTGCTCATTGTCCTCAAGAAGGAAAGTAGGACTCGCCAAGGAATTGCACTTTTATACAAATGAAAATACTTTTAAAGTAGAAGTTTCTAGAGTTTTTTTTCATTTGTTTTTAATATGTCTAACAAATTCAGTCGATGTTGTAAAAGGTGAAAGTGGAAGTGCTGATTATGTTTAGAAAGACTGTCGTCGTTTAGAGGTGGGCCAGCCACTAAATCCTGGACAGGCGCTCTCTATTAACCCCTCTCCCCTCCCCAGAAGGGAAGAGAAAAGAAAATAAGGGAGAGAGACTTTACGGGTTGGAAAATAAACTAACAGCTTTAATGAAACAATAATACTAATACTACAGGATAATATTGTAAATAGGAAAAATAATGAAATATGTACAAATATATACAAAACCAACATGAAATCCTCCCCCCACCCTCCGCCCCCCCCAGTGACGAATATGTCACCAGAGGCTCTGCAGAGCAGGGCACTGGAAAAGTCCCAGACCAAACTCAGCAGCAGTGGGAGCAGGATGCAGAACACACAAATCAGGATCAGCAACAGATGAACTAGCAGGATTCCGCTCAGGCCTTGGCCTCTGCAGGATTGAGAGATGGACGGAAGGGTCTGAGATGGAAGGGCTCCAAGATGGAAGAAGGGTGAAAAGGATCGAGACCCTCGTGATCTCTTGTTTTTTATACCGAGTGTGACATATGTGGGACGGAATACCTCGTTGGTCCGTTTTGGGTCCGCGTCCCCCCGTAGGCGCAGGCACAGCACCCATGATGAGACAACTGACCTTGAGCATATCTTCTAGCAGCACTGTTTGGGAAAAACATGCTGCTAGTTTTCAGCAAGTTCAGCCACCTAAAAGAGACTGAGCTGAAATGTAAAATCACTAAATAGAAAAAAATTAGTTCTATTTAGCTCAAACCAGGACAAAAGACTAAGGACTGTTTTCAGTATTTCAGTTTTTAAATTTAAGACACAGTAATGTGTCTTAATCCAAACATTTATTCAGAAGGTACAATTTTGAAATATTTACCTAATGAATACAGCAGTTCTTTAGTGAAACAGGGAAGAAAGTCTTATGTAGTAATCTGGTTTTTTTCCTCACATTCATAAAAGTTTGTTTATAGCAATTTACTGTTCACAATTAAACATGATGTGCTTGCTTCTGTGTAAGATGTTCATTTCATCATTTAACATCTTGACTTCATTATTGCTCTATTGTTTTCTTAGCTGTTGAGGACCTTCCAGAGGAGGTGAATGAAGCCATGCAGCCAGGTATGTATTTTGTAATTGTGATCTTAAAGTGTTTTGATGAAATACTTGCATTTTTTAATTCCAATGTGTGGGGGGAAAAAAAAATTGAAACTTTTGATATTGATAAAGAGCTGTCAGGTTTTTATAGTCTGTGGAAGAAAACTTTTTTCTTCATTTATATTTGTAATTTGTATAATTAAAAAAACCCAACAAAACCAACAAAAAAGGAAGTGGAGAAATCTGATATATAGAATCATAGAATGGTTTGAGTTGGAAGGTACTTTTAAAGATCATCTGGTCCAATTCCCATGCCATGGGCAGGGACATCTTTCACTAGATCAGCTTGCTAAAAGCCCCATTCAATCTGTCTTTGAAACATCTTTTGATGATGAGGCATCCAGAACTGCTCTGGATAATCTGTTCTACTGTCTTACCACCCTCATTGTAAAAAATGTCATCTCTATGTCCAAGCTAAATCTAACCTCTTTAAAACCATTGTCTTTTGTCCTGTTGCTACAGGCCTCAGTAAAAAGTCTCTCTCCATCTTTTTATAGGCCCTCATTATATAATGAAAGGCTTCAAAAAGGTCTCCCTAGGTCCTTTTCTCCAGGCTGAACAACCTCAACTCTCTCAGCCTTTATAGAATCATAGAATGGTTTGGGTTGGAAGGGACCTTAAAGATCATCCAGTCCAACTCCCCTGCCATGGGCAGGGACACCTCCCACCAGACCAGGTTGCTCAAAGCCCCATCCAACCTGGCCTTGAACACTTCCAGGGAGGGGGCATCCACAACTTCCCTCGGCAACCTGTGCCAGTGTCTCACCACGCTCACCATAAATAATTTCTTCCTAAAATCTAATTTAAATCTACCCTCTTTCAGTTTAAAACCATTACCTGTTGTCCTGTCGCTACTTGCCCTGATAAAAAGTCCCTCCCCAGCTTTCCTGTAGGACCCCTTCAGGAACTGGAAGACTGCAATAAGGTGTCCCCAGAGCCTTCTCTTTTCCAGACTGAACATCCCCAACTCTCTCAGTTGGTCCTTGTAGTGGAGGTGCTCCAGCCCTCTGATTATTTTTGTGGCCCTCCTCTGGACCTGCTCCAAGAGGTCCATGTCTTTCTTGTGCTGGGGACCTCGAAGGTGAACACAGTACACAGAGGGGTCTCACGACAGCGAAGTGGAGGAAAATCGCCTCCCTCGATCTGCTGGCCACACTTCTTGTGATGCAGCCCAGGATACGGTTGGCTTTCTAGGCTGCAAGTGCGCATTGCTGGCTCATATACAGCTTTTCATCCACCAGGATCCTCAAGTCCTCCGCAAGGCTGCTCTCAATCCATTCATACCCCTGTCTATACTGATATTAAGGATTGCCCTGACCCAGGTGCAGGAACTTGCACTTGGCCTTGTTGAACTCCATGACTTTCCTAAGAAGTACTTAGAGCTTCAGTTTGAGGAATGGAATATGTTAATGTCTCACATTACTACTGAAGAAGATTAAGTTATAAATTTTTGTTTGTTGTGCTGTTGTCAGGGAATTTTAAATGAGAACTGAGTTGAATGTGATGTGAAGATTTGCTCTGAGTTGTTAAAAATATAATCAAGCAAGATTTTTTTCTAAACATGACATTAATTCAGTGAGCGATAGCAAAGTGATCTAAGCAGTTTAGTTTTAACTCAGTATTTGATGCTGTATTTATTTAGTTTTTCCATTTGAAAGATATGTATTGATATAATTAAATGGAGAAACAAACTATTGTTTCACACGAGTAACAGTTGTAATCAAAATCATTTTAGAGGGGCGTAATAGCAATGGAAGTCAATAACAAAGAGTTAAGCTTTTGAACATGTAATGCATTCAGTACCTTTTTTCTACTCCTAAGGTAACCTAGATGGTGGTTCTGTAGTTTAATTTTTCCTTTCTGTTTGATACTATATTGATTGGGTGGCTGGTTGGGAATAAAAGCAAAATTGTGAACATACTGTGTCTAACTTTCAACACTTATTTTCTTTTTAACAGTAGAAAGTAAGCATGCAGAAGATCCTGTCACAACGGAACCAGAGGAATCAGGTTTGTATATTATCTCTTGCATGAGTTTGCTACTTAGGAAAAAAAAAAGATAAATAGAATAGAATAGAATTCTGTACTGAAAAAAGATGTAACTTTTTCTGCAGCTTTTTTTCTTTCAAGGACAAACTTAACTCTGTTGGAGTCTAGTATCTTGCTTTTTTAATGACAATATTTTAATGGCTTACAGAACACTCTTCAGTTTTAGAAGCTGAGAGTGCTCCCAGTTCAGAAAAACTTTTATTAATAAAGATGCCCATGTTAGGTCATGTGAAGCTAAAGATTTCTTTGCTGTGCTGTTTCCCATCAGCCAGTCAGTAGGGCATACTCAGAAAAGAGAGCATATATAAGATATAAATTTAAAAGTCTCCCCGGCTTTGAGCACTTTATTTATGGGCTTTATTTATTTTCCTAGTCAGAGAATATATTTCCCTTTCTTTGATTTTTCTTATTGTCTACAGCTAGCAGCCTGACTATTATAAATTCTTTTCTGATGAGCCAGACTCCCTCCATGCATGAACAGGGAGCTACATGCAACCTTCAGTCTATTAGCAGTAATGGCATTTGTTGACACATGATGTGTCTAATCTAAATATAGATATGGAATTAAAAAGAACTGAATTTTGAAATCAAATATTTCACAATTAGAACTGGGAACGTAAGAAGTATATGAATGTTTTATAAGCCCATACTGCAATAGCATGTGAAGCTGTAGGAGACTTGTGCTTTGGATAGTGTCGTTTCAAAATTCTGAAGTATCGTTTTTTGCAACTATGCAATCCTGCAATTTACTCTTTGGCCTATTTAAGTGTTAATGGAAAAATTATGCTGAAGAAAATTTACATCCCACTTATGCAAAAGTGGTATTACAGAGCAGTCTTGATAGCTCACTGTTTTGAGCATAAGGGGAAAAAATGCAGCTTTTTGTAAATATTTAGAGAACTGTCCAGTTTGAATTGTTTGTGCACTTTTGACTTACAGAAATGCCTGTTCAAGCTGAGGATTATTCAAATGATGATCTAGTGGGTAAATTAATCTCAAGTGCTTATTTTTTTTTCCCCCGAAACCGAAGCTATAGCTAAACAGAAAGCTTGGAAACAATTACATTGTGAAGAGGAGTGAAGGGATATCATTACTGTCATTTAAAGTTGCATCCTGTGTTTGAGGCAACAATTTTTATCTTGTACTGGATAAATGCTATTAATAGTTACTGGGTTATACAGAAGCATTCCAAATAAAACTGTAAGCAGTTTTAATTTACAACTTCACTTTTAATGACTTCAGACAGAGCTGAATACTAAAAATAAAGGTTTCAGGTCTCAAAATATGTGTACTTCCTTTCTAGAGTAACTGATTATGGGTGATACTGTCACTTTCTCTGTATCAGCCAGATCTTTTGGAATCCAAACGCAGCATGTTCTTTGGCCACTGATCTGGAAATAGGACTGTTTTGTCATGCCATCACATTTTTCTTGACATAACTGATTTTAAGAACAAGAGCACTGCCAGCTCTTCCATCTGTTGCCTGACAGTATTAAACAGAGTTCACCAAAATAATTTTTCGAGTCTCTAAATGACTTCTAAATTTAAAGACTGCATATTGTTGTTTCATCTGCCTTTTGGAGTTAGTTGCTAGTTGGAGTTGCTAATTTGTTCTTTATATTGAAGTAGTTGTGTTGAGTGAAACGCTGAGCTGTATCTCTGGGCAGTAAATCACAGAAGCTTCAGTCCCGGAGCCCTGACGGCTGTCTCAGCACCTTTTTGGGTTAGTTAGTCTTTGCAATATGCAGAAGCTCTTAAGTGTTGTGATGCCCAGGTAGTTTTGTGGGGTTTTGTTTTTCCTTGTGGGAAAGGAAACTTGTATTTGGTTTTTGCCTTTGCCAAAAGTAGCCAAAGAAGTGAAAAAAACATAGGAGGCCTTTGTGGTTGCCCAGTACAGATTGGATGCATGATTTAGTTCACGTTTTAATTCACATGCTGAACCTTAACTGAGGTGATTTGAAGTGCTCGTACCAATATGTAACTATTTTCTGTGAAGTCTTTCTGGCCTGTTTATCAATTACAGCCACATGGTGTGTTGAAATGTTTGGAGCCATAGAAGCTATAGTTCATTAATAGATGCCTTATCTAAAAATATTTTGTTTCGTAATGGATATGAAATATTTTTAACTAAAGCTTTATAATCCGTGTAGGAACAAGCAGTAGTTACCAGAATAGGCAGGAAGTTCAGCAAGGGTAGTGTTCAGTTGCTTTGTTTTGATTTAAGTTGGAACTGTAGAACAAGAAAAGTTGTATTCTCTCATAAAGTGTTGCTCCTTAAAAAAACTAAAAGGCACTTACAGGACTAGTGTAAAATTTCATCAGTAGGTAATTGCACTGCACAGTGTCAGTTGTATTGATATGAGGATATTGAGATGATCTCTTGACTTACATGTACTATTTTAAAACTAAATTCAGAATCCAAGTATCATCTTGAAATCTTTAAATGTTGTTTTTGTGAACCATATTTCTGTTGCTTTTTATGTTGTAATTTATGGCTCAGTCTTGCAGCAGTAAATGGATTTCCTGCTTTATCAAGGAAAAAAAATCTTCTGTGTATTGTACAGTAGTGGATTGTTTTCTAAATGTTCCATTTACAATTATAGAATCATTTGGGTTGGAAAAGACCCTTAAGATTATAGAGTCCCACCATAAACCTAACACTGCCAAGTCCACCACTAAACCATGTCCCTAAGTGCCACATCTGCACATCTTTTAAATAACATCAGAGATGGCGACCTCTGAAAATTGTGAAAAGAAACAGTGGACATAAAATATTTATTCCTGATCAGTAGTTTACTTATTAGTATTAAATTATTATTTTTTCCTACTATTACATACATTTACTGCCTTTTTTGGATGTGAAAATCTCAGTTTGAAGGCAACACTTTTCTCACAATTTCATCTTTGGTAAATACTCTGTGATGATTTTTTTTTGTGATGGAGGATTCATTACAAAAGTTTTTGGTTATCAGAGTAATTTCTCCTTTGTTCATGTGATTTCATTTCATCAGACATTCAAAGCTAGTATTTCCTGCTACTTCAGCAATAATGGTATTACATGTCATTGTACCAGAGGCAGTCAAGAGCTCTCTTTTGAATGAAGAACACCTATGTACGTATGTGCACTCTTTACAGCTACAAAGAATGTATTTATTTATGCAGTAAATGTAACTTCAGGTGGTATAAAAGATACTCAGAAGTGTCACTACAGAGTCCTTAATCTTAGGTAGTATACATTCATGCAACTTCATTTGAAGCATGGTGGCACTTTAGGAGCAGTTTGATCTTTACCTCTGTGGGGGGTTGACCTTAGCTGCATACCAGGTGCAGACCAAGCTGCTCTATCACTTCCCCTCCTCAGCTGGACAAGAGAGAAAATACAACAAAAGGCTCATGGGTCAGGATAAGGACAGGGAAGTAACTCAGCAATTACCATTACGGGCCAAACAGACTTGACTTGGGAAATTAATTTATTTTATTACCAGTCAAATCAGAGTAAAAATAAAATAAGAAAGAAAAGGAAATCTTAAAATACCTTCCCAGGCTCAACTTCACTCCTGATGCCTCTGCCTTATCCCCCTATGTGGCACAGAAGGACAGGGAATTAGGGTTGCAGTCAGTTCGTCACACGTCTCTGCTGCTGCTTCCTGCTCACTCTCTTCCCTTGCTCCAGCGTGGGATCTCATTCACGGGAGACAGTTCATGAACTTCTCCAACACTGAGTCCTTCCCACAGACTGCTGTTCTTCACAAACTGCTCCAGCGCGGGTCCTTTCCATGGGGTGCAGTCCTTTAGTAACAGACTGCTCCTCTGTGGGTCTCCCATGGGATCACAAGTCCTGCCAGAAATCTTGCTCCAGTGTGAACTCCTCTCCACAGGGCCCCAGGTCCTGCCAGGAGCCTGCTCCAGCATGGCCTTCTACATATAATGAAAAAATACTGTTAGGCAACTGCATCTTTAGGTATCTGTATTTTTGTAAACTAATGCACTTGAGTGGTATGATAGGCCAGCTTGAAATAGTAGTCACTTAGGATTTTTCACTAGTCCTGTTCTACACTGGCACATAAGTTGCAGCGTTTGTGATAGTGGTACTTATTGGAGACATACTTTAATCTGTACTTGGATTTTGATCCTTCTTGTATATGTTCAGATTTAAAATATCTAAGGGTTGTTTCTCCCCCCCTCCATTTTGTCTTGTGTCTTTGACATTTTATTATCAACATTTATTTTACCAACCACTGAAATCCCTCTCGTGTAGACAAGTTTCCACTACTTTGACCCTTCCTCATTCCCTGGCTCCTCTTTCCCAGTTGTATGTGTCCTTAACTTTAAAAAGAAAATAAAAAATTTAAAAAATTAATTTGTTCTAATGTATTTGTGACATGGCCTATATTTCCTTTACAAGGTAAATAAAGTGCCATATGCTGTGAAAAAAATTACTGCTTGGATAAATATTTAAAAGTTTTTATTTCCCACCGTAGACAGCAACTTTGTGTATATTCATTATGATAGCTCCTAGATATGGTAGCTTTCTCAAAGTTATTTAGTCTGATACAAAGTTGCATTTTTTTTAGCATTTAAGATTTTTTTTTGCTTTGTTTTAGAGTAAGTTGTGTTTTGGTTGGTCCTTTAATATAGATTTCCCCTTATTTTTTCAGATACTTAAAGCTTCAAAAGAAAAGTCCCTACATCAGGAGGACCAGCCCTAACCATACGCTACAAAAGGGGAGCAGATGGTTGTAATAGATCTTATGATGTAATTACTGAGCAGTTCAGGGTTTGGGGAACGAACACTAAGACATTGTAAATGGGTAGTAGCCAACTGTCATTTTAGTAAGCTTTTTTAACACTTGGATGTTTAATTTACATTCCTGTCTGTTGGGTTGTTGGTTGGTTTTTTTTGGTCAAGTTTATTGAATTCATTATTTTTCTTCTGTGTTTGTGACAGAGTTGCAACTTTGAGCTGCATTTCATATGTGCTGTTCAAGCAATTGTTAATATTCTATTTATAACGTAGCAGCAAGTACATTTTTTCAGATTTTAATATATATCTTTTGTTGTGGATTCATACAGTATGTACAGAGCAGTTTGGTCAACTGAAACATATAATAATATGAATTTTTAATTTTTTTTATAACTGCTGATATAGCATACAGCCTAACTGCATTTTATTGAAAACACTAATCAGGCGCACACTATGCTGTGAAGTTTGACTTGTATCTCTTTGCACTGATATTATGTCAACAGTTATGCTACATGAATTTGAGGTGATTTTTAAAATAGGCTAACATTTAAAAATGTGTATTTTTCGTTCATGTTAGTAAAAGGGCAGATTACTAAATTACTTTTTTCAGAAACCCTTTGTGTGAATTAGAAGTTTTTATTTATGCACGTTTGATTTTTAAAGCAAAAAGGTCTAGAAACTACATAATAGCCTGGCCGAGAGTCAGTACAGATTGGAACAAAACTGAGTTGCCAGAATCAGGTTGAGTTCAGTAAAATTATTTTATTTTGCCTACCAAGATAATGATGTCAAAGCTGAATTTAGTAACCCTTATATTCAATGAATTATTTAAAAGGTCAAATTTGTACAAATACTTGACCTGTAAATTTTATTTTAAAAAGTAAAAGCTTTGGAAATTCCAACCTTAAGAAAAACAGGGTGTCAAAATTTAAGATCTGTAATCTTAAATGCTGTTGTAAATGGTACGTCTGAAGTTTAGACTTCAAGTGATTTAGAATTTTAATGTAACAGGTGTACTTTTTACCTGTTCTGTGCTGCTGTTCCACAATTATGAAGACATATTTTATTCTTTGACATTTTGCATGTGTTCCTTTTTGGCTCAGGAATAATTGCTGTGATTTTAGGAAATTGCCAAGTCTGATATAGGAGCTTAGAAGAAATAAAGTAGGATACATTTTTAATGAGAATAATCAAATTGGTAGCCCTAACAGTGGTTGCCTTTTGGTTGACAGGGAGATTTTAAATTTCTGTAACACTGTTTGGAAGTCAGGTTTTTAGTTGCTTACATTTATAGCTAAAGGGGCATCGTATATGCTTGCCTTTTTTGTTTGAGATTTCAGTAAGACTCCACAGAAGTGAGAGTTACATCTGATCAGCAAACACAGAAAATGTCCCAAACTGATTTCTTTAGACTTTTCAGGAAAGCAATAATACTCTTAGACTGTGATGTGGTTTGGGATGGGATATTCTAGTAAAATTACCTGTGATTGTGAATTGCAGAGCAATAATTTTTACAAAGCCATATTTTGTGAGGAAGCTTGGGAATAATTTTGGAATGGTGAATGGAGGACTTTTATATAACAGTGGCAGCCTATTTGTAGAATTATGGGACTGTGAGAGTGTATTATGCTGTGATCAAATTTTAAGTATTTTGTAACTGAGTATGTGATTTTTACGTGCTTCGTGTTTACAAAAATATGCCAAGCTGAGCAAGGTCAAGAGGACTATTAAAAGAAATGTATATTTAATCTGTTTTAATGTTTGGCTGCAATAAAACACAGAAGAATATCTTTGTCTTTCTAGTGTCATTATTTTTTCAAAAATATAGTAGATACTAACTATGGGGATAAATATTTGCCTCAGCCACTAATTAATATTATTATTTTTCAAAGTAATAATTTTGAATGTTTAAAAATATATTTGAAAGTAGTATTTACAAGGAGGAAGAAATAGAGTAAGTAGAAATTATTGCTATTTCTGGTTGGTATTATTTGAAGGAAATTAATGTCTGTGTCTTCTATAAGGCCCTTGTTTTTTTGGAGTATAAGCTATTCTTCAACCAGTTTGGCCTGAATGTTTCCCATCATACATAATTTCTGTTTGTAACTTAAAATGGATGAGGTAACACACTTTAATAAATGCGGATGTGTGTAGGAATTATGGTATCTATCTTTCATAGAGAAATAATCTAGGTTATGGCCCAAACTTTAAATCAGAAGTCTAGCAAGAATGTCTTGAATGTTTCCAGGGTTGGGGCTTCTACCATCTCTCTGGGCAAACTGTTCCAGTGTTTCTCCACCCTCATTGTAAAAAATTTCTTTCTTATATGTAGTGTATATCTCTAACCTCCTGTGGTTTAGAACTGTTACTCCTTGTCCTATCGCAAGAGGCCCTGCTAAAAAGATTGTCCCCATCTTTCTCATAGGCCCCAAGTTGATGACAAAATAGTCTCAAGATTTGCTATCATATCTCTGTCTTTGAGACAGTGCATTTTTATTTTTTTTGTCAGAAATAGCATAATTAAAACCATTTGCACCATCGTAGTGAGGTAGGGATCAGTGTGGAGAGAAAAAAAGTATGGGCTGAATATGATGCTGAAGTGAATTCATAGTTAAGTGTGGTGAGAGATGAAAGAAATAAGATCTTCAGAGCTAACAAGATCAAGTTGTGATGAATTTCAAAAGCACCTACCTAGAAGGAGAAGCTGGAGTACTTAAGATCATTGGAGAGGCCTTGGTGAAATCAATGGCAACCAATTTAGCAAAACAGAGGTTGAAAGAAGCTGGAGAAGGGTATTTGGAGAATTGATCCTAGTACGTAAGTGGGTATAGAGAACTGTAGGTTTTATGTTGTGTGAGCAATAAAGAAATCTGAAGTTAGACAAGAAATGGAGATAGGAGCAGGCTTTAGAGTGATGGGTTCCTACTTTGTGCTTCCTGTGATGGAAAAGAAGTTGCAGAAATAACATGGATGTCTAAGATGGGTGGAAGAGGGTCGCTGAGCGGCCTAGAAGGAGTTAGAGAGAAGAGGTCAGGTGAGAATATCTGTGTTGCTGGTAAGGGAAAAGATACAGGGGAAATGGGTGGCTAATTAGCCTGCTGTATCATACTTTACCATCCTGTAATGAATTGTTTGTGTACTTTAGGTTGGTAAAAAAAAAAAAAAAAAGGTAGTATGAGTATCTAAACGATTCTGTGTCTCATCTGGAACTGTGTTATTACTCTTTAAAATACAGCATTTCTGATGACATACAGGTGGACATAGCTATTTTATTTATTGTGTGGTAGATGCAAAAATTGAAAAAAAAATTGGTATTTTAGCAAGTACTGAACAATGATTTCATTAATAAGTACTACTGTTACAGTAATAATATTCCTTCTCTGAGTTATCCTATAGTACATAACTGCCTTTGTATAGATATTTTTGTAATTTCTTTAATTGACAATCTGGATGTTATGATGTACTTGAAGAGGTTAATGACTTTCAATGTGACCATGTTTGTTTAATTTGCCATGTCATAATCAAGTTAATACTCATTGTGACTACTGCTGAAGATAAAAATAAAGTCATACTGTCTGCATGTTCAGTGTTAGCAGTTGTCAGCTTTGTAGTAAAGGGTGAAATCAGAATATGAAATAATTTAATTTCATGTGTGCACATAACTTCTCCAGTTTCTCCATGAAAAAAGAAATGGTTTCAGCCTTTTTTACAAGGTGTATTTTATTCACAATATAATACTTCTGAGCAGTCAGTTTAAATAGACTGTGAAGATTGAATATTCTGACAAGATGTCACCGATTAACTTAGAAATTAAAGAAAATGTTTTTTTCTGTATATAAGAATACCTAAAAATTATAGAGTCTATGTTAGGAAAATAACTAACTAAAAAGCCAACTGGCCTCTCTTTTTAATATTCTCTATTAACTTTATTGGGAGGAGATATTGGAAGCTTACTGGGGTGAAATTTGAAACAGAATGATAATGTTAAAATTGTAAGGCAAGATGTTTTAGAAGTTACAGAGTAGAGCAGGATCAGAAAGTGCTTAGAGAGGAGAAAAGGAGGAGAGGACAAGCCTGTCTCTGTATGTACCACCTTCGGAACATACATGTCCATGATTTTGGTACAGTATGTGATCCGTCTTTTGCTATAGACTGTCTTGTGCTTATTTAATATTTGCCTGTGCATTCAGATGTTTACAAAACACCTGGGTTAAATTATTTTAAAATTTGAAGTAAGACAAAAGCTTCTAAGTGCCCAAGTCACTTCTGAAAATGAGACTTAGGTTCCAAATTGATTATCATGTGGTTTACGTTTTAATTAACTATATATGTGTGTGTGTGTGCGCGTGTGTGTGTGTATGTGTGTATGTGTATATATATATTAAGCTAGTGTTCCCAAGAGTTTAATTAGTGAACAACTCTTCTTGCAGAATAGCTTGCATTGTAAGTGTGTATCACTAAAATTTACCAAATATCTAACAGGAAAAGCTTATGAAATATTTTGTAACAGAAGCAATTATGTACTATTTGAAGCATCTGCAGAGAAAGACCTTTTATGTAACTATAGTTCAGACAACAATCCGTGGTTACTTTAAAAAATAAAAATTAAACAAGAAATTCCTGTTGACCCAATTATGTTTTGAGTATAAGTTGTTATTTTATTGTATCTCTTTCTTATAATAAACCGCTAACATAAATGTATTTCATTGAAATTATATTTTTAATATTCTAGGGAAAAGTGAAAGAGAAACTGAACAAGACAGAACAGAAATAGGTAAGTCTGAAAGTAACATTCTATTGTTCTGGAATTCAAAAGCATGCTCTTTCTGGGAGGGCTGATTTAAATCAGATTAAACAGTATTAAAGCTTGGCTTCTGTACATCTTAGGTAGATAAACTCAATTTAAATAAACATCCAGAGAGCATCTGCTTTTGTAAGTAAATATACAGTCATTGCAGAAGCCGAAAGCAATGTATTCCCCTCATGTTGTCACAGGCTACTGTTAAAAACTTCTGCTGTTTCAGAAGTAAAATATTAAATGTTGTACTCCTAGTTTAGGACTCCAGAGGTCACAGCTTCACCAGGTTCCTTGAGTATTTGTGGGGAGAGGCAATGTGGGCTGCCCAGCACTGGTTCAGCACTGCCCCAAAATCCAGGTTCGGCACTGCCTTCTGTGCCTGAGGAGACAGGTGGCACTGAAATCAGTGCTCCTCAGCTCCAGGTATACCCCCTCAGGGGTACACACTGTAGCTGACAGCACACAAAAGCCTCAGGGCCTGTGTCTGCATCCTTTTCACTTGGGTATGCCTAAAGATGAGTGCCTGCCCTAAGCAGCTCCATCACTACTTCCAGGTGGAAGAAAGAGGATTCAGTGACTCTCGGAGTACTTAGCAATGCCACTTTTATGATCTTTTGGTAAGGGTTTATTTGGTTTCATTTTGTATCTTTGTATTTTAAATACAAGTTTCTAGCACTGGTAAACTTTAAACATTTTATTTATATTAAATATGTCAAATGTAGACGTTACATTTAAAAACTATTAGCCAGTTTACTTAGAAAGCAAGGCAGTTATAGCCACATTTTTGTTTATAAAACGACAGATTTGGCAGGAAATACCTTACTGCACTGCTTTACATGATGGCAGAAAAAAACCAAAACGAACACTATTATGTGCCAGTTTTATTGACCTGTTAAAACAGTAGAATAAAATGGCATACGTTTATGTATGGGTATAGGTAAAAAGCACTCATAGGTAAAAATACCAACTTGTTTAAGAAAATGAAAATTTACAGATTTACTATAATGCAACGTTATTAACCAGAACTATTAAACAAATTTATTAGTTGGAAGTATGACAAGGTGCAGCCACTTTCCTTTTGTACACTAAGTGCTGTGTGTTTTTGTTTCTTTTTGAACACTAAGCAATGACATAAATGCTTCTGCTGAGTCCTGCCATTGCAAATTACGCGATTTCCATAAATTGGAAAAAGGGCTGGTTTCATTTTCCAAGTTAAATTGATAAATGTTTGCAGGAAAAGCAACCCTGCATTTTTTTTAATGAAATTTGTTTATAGCTCAACTTGCTTATGTGGTTTTCATACGAGTTGAATTTTGTTTAACTGCTTTAAGTTTTCATAGTTTGAGCTATTTAAGATTTTACTTGCTATAAAAGTGTGTAGCTATAGATATCCTAGCCGTAAAAAGTCATTTTAAAGTCCTGTTAAATTGATTTATTGCAAATAACCCTAATAAGATGCAGCAGTAAAGTGGCATTGGTAAAGAGAGGTATTTTTTGAAATACTGTACTGTTACTGTCTGATATATGTAGAAAACTCAAATATCTAAGTAGTTCGAAATTTGTAGAGTCATGTTTGCCTTGGATTTAGGGATTCTTTAAGATTCTGACAATGGAAAATCCTCTAAAGAAACAGAAACTAAATGCATTTGTAGTGTACTACTTCAAGTGCACTACTTTGTAGTGTAATACTTCAAGTTTTCTCTGTTACATTTAATTGAGAAGGATTTTTTTTTTTGTCTTCTCCATAAAAATGTGATCAGATTTTTATACTTTACACAAGTACTTTAAATGGGATGGGTGTTTCAGGTGAATCTGAGAAATAATTTTTAAAAATATTTCACAGATAGTACAGTCCAGGGCATATATACCACATCCATAAGACGTCTTTCCATATGAAGTTATTTCAGTTGCTTTTGATCACATAAATTTAAGTGAGGAGCTTCGTTTTTCTACTTTGGCTTATATTGGCGTATATTGACCATTAATTTATATTGGTGAAGAATGGATAAAAAAACCCGGAACAGTAATTTTCTGCAATGACTGTTTCTGTCATGCACTGAACATCAGCATAGGTAATTATAATTGTAATTTTCACTTTTCAAAACTGATAAAACGTTAAAGTGAAAATGAATGCCATTTGGTTGGAGCACTCGGTTATGTTGCAGAGGTAATATAATAATAACTAATAATGTTATAGCTGGTATAAGCCAACTTAGGGCAACGCCAACCCACAAGTGGCCCTGCAAATGTCACTCTGATACCAGAGTCTACGTTTAGCTTGCTTTACTCAAGGTATTTACATTTGAATGGGATATGTAGGATCCTACTGTGGTACCAGTAGAGATCTAACATATATATCCTGTGAAGGCTAAAGTGCTGCTCTTCTGGCTAAGTGTAGGTTTTTGCTGTTGGGTGAGATGAGTTGTCCCCTAAACTCCATTGAGATCCTTAATCTGAGCTCCACTAACTGTAGAAAGAGTGCACACGCTTAGCTCACCTCCACCTCAAGTTAGGTGGGCTGACTTCCACCCTTGCAAGCTCTGATTTTAAGGGTATACATACTACCTATTGATTTACTTACATATTTAATTGTAGCCTGCATCAGTCTCCGTTTAAGGCTCAGAGCAACCACAGGGAGCAGGATTTTCTCTCTATTGTCCCCTACCCTCCCAGGGGAGGATTAAAAAAAGGAGAATAGAGAAAAAGATGCTTCACACAAGGTTGGAAGTTAAGACTATAACGAGTTTAATGAAAAACAACAGGGGAAAGGGAAAAGGGAATTAATAAGGGATAAAGGATATTTAACTATATACAAAACCCGATCCCAGTAGTCCCGAGTGGAAGTGTCCAAGCTGCCTTGCGGCCGCTGTGACTCATCACCAGAGACCATGATGGTGCCAGGGAGTGGATGGTGGTGGATGCTGCTGAGCACGTGAAGGTAGGCCCAGCCGTCCCGAGATGCAACAGGAAGCAGCCCAGGAAACCAGGAAAAAGCCCGCGAAAACCTCAGGCCTCCTCCATTGTTTATAGACTGTGGCCAGAAAGGGGAGGGTACAGTACTGATCTCTGACCCCCCAGGTTCCTACAGACACCACCTGTCCTTCCCTTTCAGGCTGTTAATCCTTAAACCATAACAATCAAATATGAGCTGTGGGCAGAATGACCAATATTGTGTTTCATAGAAGAAGTGGTCTTAAAGACCAAAACTGCTGCTTAACACCATGCTGAACTAAATGTATAGGACATCAGAATATTAGTGTGTGGTTTTGTACAGAAAGTCAATGAAGAAATTTATTTCTGGTCTTGTCAAAGAGTTGCTTGATTCTAGCCTTTGAATGAAGCCTAAAGACTTCATGATGAGAAGGAGAGGTGAATGTTGGAAATACACACCAAAAATAAAATTATCATTCCGTAATTGTTTCTTCTGATCAACATCTAACCAACCAACAGTAATTTCACACAGTAAACCCTGTAGAATACTTTTTACTGCAAGGCCAATTGTTCTGGAATAACCACAGCTCAAGATTTATTATAGTCATTAGATTCCTCAGCTTTATTAGTCCCTTAAAATGCTTCAGTTTTTATTGTCTGATTGCTTCCCCAGATAAGTTGATTATAGAGGTTTTGCCTGTTCTACCAGTACAGTTTAGAAAGATCTTTTAATTATTGTAGTACTACTGGCTTTAAATTGTCTAGATGCAGTTATGTGTTTTTATACCTTCTAAGTTATCATTTATAGAGGCCTGTAAAACAAGAAGATCACTTACACTATCTGTATTTTACCTAATGAGCTTCCCAAACAACAGGACAATGACAGGAGTTTCTCATCATCATCAAATTCTCATTCAAGCACGCACTGAGAGGCAGCACAATTTCAAAAATTAATTTGGATAATGATATGGGCTTAGTATGAGGAGGGATGACAGTTACTTGAGCAAATTTTGGATTCCAGGTATAAGTAGTTGGTCTACTAATATATGTGTATGTTTTTCAGCTCATAACTGAAACTGTGAAACTTGGAAGACTGGAGTATTTCAGGGAAGGGGTATGGGGAATTAGTAAAACAGGTCACAAAATTCACTGGAAAACTTTACAGGCCATGATCATCAGGATCTGCTTACCATTGTCTTTTAAGTTGCCCATCCACAAGTTGCCAAGAAGATTATTACTGAATTTGTATCACAGCAGGGGGTAGGAGAATGTTTAGGAAAAAAAGCCTATGGCTTCGCTGGAAATGTCTTCTTTAGATTCTGACAGTTTAAGGTGGAGAACTGATAGGAGGAGCCTTCACTGTGAGTTACCATGAAACTGCATAGAATGATAGAATACAGTCACAGAATCATTGTGGCTGGAAAAGACCTTTAAGATCAACAAGTCCAACCATTAACTGACTGTACCATGCCCCCTTCTAAACCATGTCCCTGAGCACCACATCTAGATAGCTTTTAAATAAATCCAGAGATGGTGATTCAACCACTTCCCTGGTAGCCTATTCCAGTCTTTGATAATACTTTCAGTGTAGAAGTTTTTCCTAATGCCTAACCTAAACCTCCCCTGGTGTAACTTAACGCCATTTCCTCTTGTCACTTGTAACTTGCGAGAAGAGATCCACACCCACCTCTCTACAACCTCCTTTCAGGTAGCTGTAGAGAGCGATAAGGTCTCTCCTCAGCCTCCTTTTCTTCAGACTAAACAACCCCAAGCCCCTCATAAGACCTGTTCTCAAGACCTTTCACTAGCACCTCAATGTCTTTCTTACACTGCGATGCCCAAAACTGAACACAGTACTCAAGGTGTAGTGAGTGCTGAGTACAGTGGGATGATTGTCCCACTTCTCTAATCTGCTGGCTATACTATTCCTGATACAGGCCAGGAGGCCGTTGGCCTTCTTGGCCACCTGGGCACTCTGCTGACTCGTGTTCAGCTGGCTGTTGGTTAACACCCCCAGGTCCCTTTCTGCTGGGCAGCTTTCCAGC